TCGCGTCTAGACGTTCCGTTGCACGCCTGCCAGCTATTTTATCTTCTGCATGTAAAATATACGAGCGGCACGGCTGGATTTACCGCCGCGCCCGGCACAATCCCGCCGATTGCTTCTTTTCCCGTCTGGATAATTAAATAGCAGGAATCATTGCAGGTTTCGCGTACTTTAAATTACGAAATACGACGATGTTGCGTTCGATTCCTTAAAATAATAATGAAATGAATGATGAAATAAAATCCTTTCTAATCTTAGTTACTTACCAATATTATAAACGCGAAAGTTTGTATTTATGTTTGGATGTTTGTTACTCTTTCACGCAAATACATAAACAATACACAACATAAAATATACAATTGCACGCTTATACATCAGAGTAACAAATAGGCTATAATTTATATACATATTTTTATGTATATCTGTCTTTCTGTCTGAATGTCACGCCTTCAGCCTATTCTACGCAGACGTAGTCGCGGGCAGCAGCTAGTAAAAAATAAAGCTCCGTTATAAGTACATAGCACTAGATTTTTCCCCTGTTTAAATTGCCTTCCCATAGTTTTGCTAGGCTTCACCTTCGCCAAAGTTTTTACTAAAAGTCTAAAGAGTTTACGAAGTTTGAAATTGGAAAAGAAATAGACCTTATTTGCTTTACGATTAGGGGGGCAAGGAATACCAAAACTAGTATGGTTTCTCGTCTGAACGTTTCGATGATTACGAAACAGATACTTTCTAATACGGCTGACAATGAAAGAGCTATTCATCTTTCGGTAAAAGACGGAATGTTTGAACGTTTGGTTTCGATGTGCGAAGACTTATCGAACATTACGGGCAAAAAATTTTATTGCTTTCGAAAGTATGTCACACAGTGGTAATCGCTTTTTATCGAAAACATGCTAAGTAATATTTTATAAGGTTAAAATAAACTGAATTCTGTTTACAGAGAGCAGTGAAGTTATGTATTTGCTACTAATAGTTACAATATTAAATATAACCAAATTACATATTATCTTATAAACCTAGTCCATACGACAAGGCGGTGCCAAGAACTCTAGCTAGAGGGTGCCAAGAAGAACATAAAATAAAATAACTGCATTTTCTCGCTGAATAGTTTTGCTCAACCTTTGAGCGAGAAAGGAATCAGCCCTCTTGTCACTAGCCGCGGTGATAAGTCTGGAACGTAAACCTTTCGACAACTGCCACCGTGCGGAAACACATAAAAAACTAACAGAGAGAGTATTAAAGGAACTGACACACTTTCATATAATATGGATTTAAATTATCAGAAAGGTTTAGGAGTGAAGTTGTTAAAAAGGGGGTAGACAAATCTATGATCCTCACCGAGTATGAAGCTTTGAGATGTACAGCTTCCAAACATACTGTATGATGCGCTGGGTTATAACAACGCTTTCTTGGTTTTGCCGCTTGAAATAAGATTGCTTTCAAGATAAAATGCTTCAGTATCACTAAATTTTCCTGATGAAAGTAATAATTCAAATAGTGCTTACACTACGTTTATTTTAAAATGTTATTTAAAAACCGATCATGGTTTTATTATGAGAAATGCGTTTCGCGTACGGATTCCTTTGCAAATCGAAGAGTTCGGTGGTTTTCTCACAAATCCCTTCATCAGACCTTGACCGAATTTAGATGAGACCGTCTCTAAGTAACCAATATATCTAACAAAACAACAAACGGAAACAATGAAATTGCACAACTCGATAATCAAATATAGTTGAACGTTCATAAAGATATCAGACAAATCGCCCAATATTTGTTGCACGAAACTTGAACGCTAAGCGAACCGAAGTATGATGGGTAATGGGTGGATAACTTGCAACATGCATGCAGCCTGCAAATGACGCCATCGTAGACTGTAAGCCTGAGTTATTGTACTTTAATATCTCCTATACTCTCCTGCAAAACATGATATTAGCGTTGCGGGCGGCGGTTGCGCAAACCGGATACGTCGATATTGTGCGAAGCGTCGTGTATTTGAAAGTCACAATGTTGCAGCGGCGCTGTGCTTTTATATTGCCCGGTGAAATCACGCTTCGTCTTATCGTTAATTTCCATTCACATACATAATTACAGTTACTAAACAAGTAATGAAAGATTTGACTCCACCAACTAAAACTTTTCGATAAATTCGTATTAAATGTCAGACTTTTAACTTTTTTCACAAACCTACACTTGTAGAGTAAAATGGGCGCGAAGTTCTTTTTCATTAAAAATCCATTTGGATTAAATCCAAAGAAGGTTAAATAAATAACAACACTAAGGCCGTTGAACCTCGTATTCAGTGCACGAGCTTAGATCGATCATTTAACACCAAAATCTATTTCTAGTTTATAGTCCTACATTCGTTGGTACTTTATAACAATGAGTTACAAAAACCTATAACTTAACATTTATTCTATAAGGATAATTAAGGAAACTATACTAGTATAGGAAATATGAAACATTGCATATGAGTTATGTATTGATCCTGAGTGAGAATAAAGAGAAAAGTAAAGTAACAAACAGCCTATATATGTTCCACAGCTGGGCAAAGGCCTCCTCTGTACAGAGGGTATAAGGGCACAGTCCCCATTCCCCACGATTCTTCTAATCGATTCGATTCAATCTTCGATTTTTTTTAATATTTCGAAAATATGCATGTTTTCCTCACGATTTTTTCGTTCACCGCCGAGCACATGATAAGTGAGAACATAAAATTAACAGTTATGAATGGTGCCGGCACCGGGGATCGAACACAGGTTGCTCGAATATATTGAGCTAAAAGCGAGCGCCCGGACGATAAGCTATCACAAAATTCATCCTCAAAGGAGGTCGAATATATTACTACATATAAACTTTACATCTGCTTACCTCACGCCCGGTTTCTGAAACACTCATCCTCGTAGAAGTCAACTATCTAGCTGTCAAATGGATTTTCAAATGTTATTTGAGTTGCTTTTTTTATAGTGCTAATCTCTGCACTTAAGATTAAACATTGTAGATAAAAGACGTTAAGATTTTCGTCGGTGTGGCAATCAGCTGTTTAGCTTAGTGGCTATAGCGTTAGGCGGCGAACGCCTAAGACGTGTTTTCGATTCCAACAGCGGCGACAATCTTTTCGTACTTTTTCTACAAATTTTAATGCCAAAAGGATTGTTAATAAAAACTCTCTGAAATGATCAGAATGATCTTCTTAATGATCAAAATAATCAATTCAAAGAGTTTAACAATCCTTTTGGCAACTCAAAGAAACATTTGAAAATCCATTTGACAGCTGGTTAGTTGAATTCTGCGATGCTCACGCCCTGTTTCTGAAACACCGATCATCGTAGATGTCAACTAATCAGCTGTCAAATGGCTTTTCAAATTTCATTTTAGCTGCCAAAATTATTGTTAAAGTCACTGAATTGACTAGAATGATCTTCTTAATGATAAAAATGATCAATTGAAAAGTTTAACCATCTTTTTGGCAACTTAAATGGCATTTGAAAAGCCATTTGACAGCTGATTAGTTGACATCTACGATGATCAGTGTTTCAGAAACCGGGCGTCAGTGTTACATTTCAGTAGAATTTAATAAGTAAATTGTTACCGTGCGAATCGGACGCGGAGCGTGAAATAATCGACTGTATTTTTTTTTCATAAACATTTAGCACCGTTACCTAATTATAACGGGTTCCACGATTGACGAAAAAAGTAATCCAATCTCGGTAGCCGATCGAATGCGATTGCTTTTTAATTAAGCAATTGAAGATCGACAAAGGAAAAGTGTTCGATAATTCACCTGTCGATATTTAAAGTTGATTTTTGAAGGAGACGCTGACATTGATCTTTAGTTTTATATTATAATGCTGTTGTTTTAATAAAGCCAATGATAAAACGGACGAACTTTACTAAATCAGCAAATACACTTGTATGTACTAAACTGACAACACATTTTGAGTGAAAGCTGCACCGTTCAGATTTAAATTCCTACCTAATTTAATATAACAACATTTTTCATCATCAGTATTAGTGCAACATCAAAACCAGTTGCACATAATATGATAAAAACACAATGGAATAGCGGCCAGGTCGTGCGATTTAAAATTCACGCCTACACATAGGAAATAGCGCCGTTCGAGAGGTATTGGAGAGAAAAAAAGAACCTCGTCTTTTTTTCCCCCAGCCGACAACAAAGAGCTCGTTCCGAGCGAACTGGTTCAGTGGTAACAATTAAGACTTCCTTCGCACAGCGCAGGACGTACTTAGCGATGGAATAATTACGCGGAGAATGCACGCCACTACTAAGAACCCCAGGCTTTGTTCGCGCCCAAGCTTGTCGCGTTGTCGTTTTAAGGTTAAGGATTCGGAAGCAATTCTCCACTCATCATTCGCATACTTCCCAATTTGAATTATTCGTATTTGAACACCCTGTTGAGCCTTACGTGAAAACAAAATGAGTTCGGTTAAGTTCATTAATTCTATTGTTTGCTAGAATAAATAATCATTAACATTTAAGGAGATTCGATATTGACCAAGATTTAAGCAACACAGAACAGAAAAGAAATCTTTGAACGTAATTTGGTTCGGTTAAAATTATACTAGCACCAAGAGATTTTGTGCACCATAACATACATCTGAAGCAAATGTACATCGCATGTAACAATAAAAAAATCCGAGAAAAAAGCAGTCATTTATGGGGTCAAAGTATTCTATTTTCTTGAAAAGAAATATTACAATATTATCTTAAAATCATAAAAAAAATTAAAAAAAAACAACAAATACATATTAGTAACTGTAGACAGACTACCAAAGAAATGCATGAACTATCAGTTAAACACATATTTTAATTATTACAATGTAAACATATTATTGATATTCAAAGGAAAACGATATTTTCACCAAGTACACTTGAATGATACCATCAAAGATCGGTCCAACAATCAACTGTCGGGTAAATTGTAGTAAAAGCCTTCGCTTTATGCTATACAGATAGCACGCTCAATCTAGCGATCAATCTAGCGATCAATCGGTCGATCAATCGATCGACTGGTCGCTGCATCTCTGTAAGGCACGCACAACGCGAGGCGAGCAGGTGCGTATTGCACTGCATTGTTGAACTGCTCGTTTGCGTGCATTGTTCTCTGCATTGTTATATTAGCATAATAACATCGCTGATTAGCATAGCGGGAGTGTCGGCTGAGCGCACGATGGGGATCCAAGGCCTGAGCGCATTGGTTTGGCACGCATCGCATCTATCTTTCTTGGCCTGGAGAACTGCAGATTGCACTTAATTGTCGAGATAGGCGCGACTCGTCAAATATTAATTAATGTATAGGTTCTAAAATGGTTATACCGATGAGTACTTTTCTAAAATCCATCACAAATGTAGAGCCCTTAAAACAATATATAAAAAAAAAAACAAAAAGAAAGATAAGACCGCAGTGTTTCTTGCCGGTTCTTCTCTGTTAAGTAACCGGTGGTAGTTTTTTTTACGTTCAATAAGAGCTTTAATTAGGCCTATCACTACATAGTATAAAACAAAGTCGTCCCGCTGTCTGGCTGTCCCTATGTATGCTTAGATCTTTAAAACTACGCAACGGATCTTGACGTGGTTGTTTTTACTAGATAGAGTGATTCAAGAGGAAGGTTTATATGTATAATAAATACATTGTACCCGTGTGAAGCCGGGGCGGGTCGCTAGTATTGTTGCTACATTGATCCAGTGTCTGTCAGTAATTTCTTAAGGCCTAAAACGAATAATTACACGGGCTCCTTAAATCCCTCGGTCTTGTCAATTATAATTGAAAAGCGGGCAACGGCACTTTCGTAAGTGCTCTCAACTCCCCAAAATAATATGGTTATCATTGTATAACATCTGACCTTCTGGCGGCGAAGTCGACGAGACGTGTTTTGAGGTCAGAAAAGCGAAATCTCGCCGCGAACGCTATGTCAGTCAGTGTCGCCAGCACTTTCGCCCCGCCCGTCATCTCGGCGCCACGAAAGTGTTGCAAGGTTTAACTTCGAGTGAATTCTCGTGGATTACCAAAAAAAAAAACATTGTGTGAACTTCTGAGGAGTTTTATTTCGTTACAATATTTACTGAACCAAAAAAATATTTCGAAGATACGTGAAGTCCGCCAAACCGCAATATCGCCACGTGGTGGTCTACGCCCAGATACCCTTTGTACAGAGGCCTTTCCCCAGCAGTTGTATAAGCAGTTACTTCACTTTTTTACTTATTTTAGTGCTAAGTATAGATAGCATACAACTCATACAATTATGCTAATTCGTTAGCCACAGCTGTAGGGAAATCTACATTCCACTCAATGTTTTCCTAAACCGGAGGCAGAGACTTCTTCAATTAACATATTTCTAGGATTTACATTTTTTGCACTTGTGTAAATATGGTACCGTAAACATTGCTAGGCTCTAAATCACAGACTTAATTCCAACAAAAAGCCCGTCTGGTCGGCGGGATACAAACTGAGCAACTAGTTGATGCTATTTATAACTGTGGTAGGGCCACGCAACAACAGCCTTCGTTGTGGCACGAATGGGCAGGTCCACCCGGTTAAGTACCACGACCTTACAGGAGACCGAAGTGAAGTGAAAGTGTTACACTTCTGCGTTTCGGCTGGTGACTTTGGTAACCGGAGTCCACTTTATTAAAAGGTGTCAACACGTCTGCAAACCCTACAGGTGTTACAAATGTCCATGAGCGGCGGTTATCACTTAACATCAGGCGAACCTTCTCATATCAAAGAAAAGGGTACTGAGCTACATATATTTACGAAGGCAGTAGATAACAAGCGACCTGAAGGTTATTAGGAATGAGCTCTCTTCTTGAAGATCTCTTAATAGTTTTGGATCCGAAATACCGCTGACGACAATTGATTCCATAAATAGTCGTACCCGACCGAGTTGAATCCCCGAATCGCTTTAATGTCGTCTGTACAGAGGAAGCCTTTAACCAGCTGTGGGACATATATTGGCTGTTACTTGATGGAAAATTTCGCGATAAGTACTCAATGGTGAATTGCCAACCATCAAGATGATCAATGGTATTGGTACCAAACTAAATACAGTTTTTTATAATCTTGTATGTATGTATGTATGTATATATATATCATCATATCAGCCGTAGGACGTCCACTGCTGAACATAGGCCTCCCTCATTGACTTCCACATCGACCGGTCGTTAGCGGCCTGCATCCAGCGCGTCCCTGCGATCTTGGCTAGGTCGTCCGTCCACCTTGTGGGAGGCCTTCCTACGCTGCGTTTGCCGTCACGTGGTCTCCACTCGAGAACCTTTTTGCCCAACGGCCATCGGTTCTTCGAGCTACTGCCACTTCAGCCTGCTGACTCGCCTGATATATATATATATATATATATATCAGGACACAATACATTAACTTACGATTTAAAACTTCTCAACCTCCGGCATGAAATTAGAGGCTACGATAAAGAAAAAATACAATGAGATTAATAAAGTTTCAGTCACGTCCATAATTTAATTTTACTGTGGTAAATTAACAATACCTTACATAGTAGCACCTGCTGAACGAATATGCTTACTCGGCCGGGTAAGTACCACGACCTCACAAAAGACCGGTGCGAAGTATAAGTATTTTTATTTTTGTAATTAAATATTTGTCAATGTCGTGCTTTGGAAACCGTAATACACCGCGGATCGAGAAACTTGTCCGTGTTCGTTTTAATTACTCAAGTTTTAAACAACAATTTAACAGCCGCCCGCAAGTTTTATTTATAAAACATGGTAATATATTCCTGTACAAACGAGTTGCCGTGCTGGCTCCCTAACCAGTTAACCGATGTACTATCTCGCCCCTTTAGCGAACTTCCTCAAACGATATTCTAATGTGTCCCTATCGGAAAACGCGTAACCTGAGCCTAGAATGTTCGAAATCCGTATTGTCGATCGACACAGGTTATATAAACTTTATTATTTAAATGAAAATTTTTATTACTACACATTTTTACTAATTACCTAATTGTACGCTTTACGGTTCAACCAGTATCAAGTTAGTTGAGAATATTAACTGTTTTTTTTTGCTCCACTAACAACATAATTATGTTGTTTGAAGAAAAAGTTGTTTTATTAGACACTATTTGCATAATGACATAGCTAGCTTGGATATCATAATCTCATAACTCTCTTCTCAATATACTCAGTTATTTAGGTTGTCACTTCGTCTAGTAAAAGTCACCGTTCAGGGTCTTTGCCAATACAAGGCGGATATTCAAGAAGTTTTCCACTGCAAGTTTACTACGGTCTTATAATATTTAAATAAGTTTTAGGAAACGTAAAATATTAAATTTCTATTGATTGTAATATTCGTTAGTACCAATGGCAGAAACCGGCAACTGCGCTCGTTACAAAAAATAAATAATAAAATAGTCTTCTCGTGGACGGAAACTTACACGGATACGTCGAAGCTTATTTTATGTAATTTCAACCTCTACCTCAAAGATACTACATTATGACGTCAGCCTGTTCGTAGCGACGCTTAAAAAAAAAAGCAAACTCAAGGCTTTAAAAAAAGGGTTTCATTTAACCGACTGTACTGGTTGATCTCTTGAATAATATATGTATAATAATATACATTACATACCTCAAATCCGACCTGTACCGTCCGTTATGATGACCTTTACTCAAACTAAGGATTATTAATTTTTAAGTGTCTAAAGGGAGAAGCTCTTGTCTTCAGCCTGGCGCACCACAAGGCTTCAACGAAAATGTCAACTTACCACATTAAGGTAATGCCAAGTAAACAACTGCCGTATGAAACAATAGATAGGCAAACCAGCTTTAGTAGGTCACGGAGCTTCAGGCGTTGTGTTTGATGAGCGCATCAAAATGATGATTTTACCTTTTAATTTAAATGTCAATGCCGTACTATCATTGTTCGTCGAGGTGTCCGTAATTGAGAGGTCGGAACAAAAAAGCTCTCAAGCTCTTAACCCTCACGCGTTTTAAGAGGCGGTAAAAGACAATAATTCCCATTTATTTAACAAAACTCATACCGACTGCCTGACAGCCAACAGACAAATTATGTCCGACGGTCTAGATTTAAGTACGGTTGGTAAAGAACGATATTTATTCATATCCGAAGGGGTTAAATAAGACGTATACTTTATCTGTCTTTAATAACCATCTAAAAATTGCAAATTAAAAATATATGTTCCTTTATAATTAGTGTACGGAGCGTGTTTACCATTTACCGGAATAGAAAACTTGTGGTAAAGCGCGGCCGTGTGCGTGAGAAAGTCAACCATGCATATGGAAACGATAGTCTGCTAGACGTTCAGTTATATAATAATACTTTCATACAACACCGCAAAAATTTAACAGATGTGATGGAACAAGGATATTGTGAAGAAGTACTTTTATAACACGCATTTATTAGCTTGATACAAATGTACGTAACGGAATCTTCGAACATGATTTTGACCCTTAAATTGTAATATAAGGACTTCATTTCAATATTCAGAGGGTAAACAGAGAAATAGACCTAAGCATATTTCGAGTTCCATACGGGTAACAATTTCTCGACACAATGGCATATTTATTAATTTAATCAATTACAAAATAGTAACATGCGATTTGTTATTTAAAATGTTCATCATGAAAATAAGATTATTAGTATCAAGACGACTATGGCTTACGTGTTTGATCACGAACTTTAACTGATACACCAAGTTAAATATCTTATATTGTACATGGAACGATGCTATTTCCTTCGAATAATACAAATAAGTTAACCGTACTTGTAAGTACAGTTTCTGGCACATAAACCTTTTAAAGGCCTTGCATTACAGGGATTATACTAGCTGAGGTAGGTAACGGAACTTTCAATATCAACATGGCTTCGGGTTAATAGTTACGCAGTTTCTAATAACAATAATAAGTTAACCACTAAAATTTTAATAAAAGCACCGTTTAAGAAATAATTGTATACGTCATTTTTAATATATAATTTATTAGTTCAATTGATATAAACCTATGAAGGTATCTTAAACTTTATAGTTACAAAACTTTTTCTGCTGTCTTTTACATAATTTATTTTTATTGTTTTTCGTGGTGTTTTATCGCCGGAATGCTATAACTTCCACAATTCTTTATCAATTTTAATTAAAACGTAACACTGAAAAACGGAGAAGAGAACAAAGATATTTTCATAAAAAAGTTCGTTTAAAAATATATTATTAGGAATTGAATTTTAATGCCATCTATTGACAATTTGATTGGATGAAAAATAGCAAAGTAGACTTAAATTATATGCTTTAAAATAGAATAACTTTTATTGATAAATAGTATCTACACATTATTGTACTCGATGACAGATCATTGTACTAAAATTTCGCAGTGATCAACTTGTATGATTTCATAGTATATTAATTAAATAAATTTCTCTCGTGAAAGTAGCGTCACCATTACACGCTTCTTTATTATGACTTTTTGCATTACTTTTATAATATATGCTTCATACTGAACAAAGCGCGCCCTCTAAATACAAGTCCGTCATTAGGAAGGACACCCATACAAAACTTCCCGGTACGCGCTCGTACGAAGAATACATAAAAAGACTCAATAATTTTATTCTGTCAGTTAGCATTAACACGCAGGGCCTTTTAACTGTAAACACCCACTGTCGCTAATATTAATCTTAACATCAAATGAAATATCAAACGCGATTAAATCAGTAAGCATTTCAAGCGACGTATAATTTTTAGTTGGAAATTATGAGTAATCGCCTCTCGTGTTTCCGCCCGTACAGAGTGGATGTCTTCAAGACATGACTTAATATACTTTTCCCAAGGTGGTATGTTTACAAAAAAGCATTATCACTTACCGTCCGGATTGGATGGGTTACTGAAAATGTTTTTATTACACAATATAAATCCTATTAAAGTCTTGTAATAAGCTTAACGACAAGAAAAGGCAAGGTTTGGGGCAATATTAATG